GTCACCGGATAGGACTTGGCCAGAGTTTGAGTATGGAAATCCGTAACAGTATAACCTTGAGTCGTAAAAACCGTCTTCGTGGAAGCCGTGGTGATTCTGCTTTATGTCAGCCTTGGATTGCAAATTCTTATGATAGAAAATCGACTGACGTGGAAGTAACGGGTTCTTCCTTCGTCACGGTTTTCGTCTCCGTAACCGTGACGGTCTTGCCCCATGGGCATTTGGAGCTCCAATGCTCGCAGTCATCGGTATATGTGTCATAGATTGGCGACTTTTTTTCTGCGTCTGTAGGAGTAGGCTCCGGTTGAGCCGCAACAGAGGAAGAAGGTTCGGAGACCAGTGTAGACGTGGGCAACGACTCTGCTTCGGGTTGAGACGAGAAAGAAGGTGAAGGCGATGGGCTGGGATAGACTGAGTATTGTACTGATGCATCAAGGTAGGAATCGTTCTGCCTGGCGTACACTCGAGTGTCATGTTGCCCCGTAATGCTGGCGGCGAATGCCCCAAAGAGCACAAGCGACGTCAAGCGCATGGCGTCTGGCTGAATCAAATGAAAGAATTTGGATATCCCAATTGCCCGAAATCAATGATGCATACAAGCTTGTCGCGTTTACAATGGCGGTCTAACGAGCGTGGGATGACGGCTCTTTGAAGTTGAAGAGGCATAAGAGAGTGCCGTTTGGGGACCGAGGGGGGAGCAGACTCGAAGAAAGTAAGAGTGGTACCTCGAGCCTCATATGTATGTATCTATATATGTATGTATGTACAGTGATATGCAGCGAGGAAGAGGGGAGGCTGAGAGCTGAGTTGGTAATACAGCCTTACCAGAGACTAGGGAAACTGACTTCAACAGCAGGATGATATTCCCCGCAAGCTAAGGCCAGAGGAAGTAACCAGTACCTTGTAAGCCGCCCGATATAGCGTCCAGTCCGCGGGGGCCGCGTGTAAGATGGTGTTGACAAAAGCTGGGTGGTCTATAGGCTCGGCACCTTGCCAACACGGTCCAAGAGAGTAAAAGGAGGCCGTTGGCTACTTAAATGGGGGGGTGAAAGGGACCAAGGTTACGAAAGTACCCACGAAAGTACCCAACAACATGGGGAGCTACCTTGAGCTCTGGATCCTCATTCTCCTCGTGTGCTGACGTGCTACACGGAAAAGGGGCGTGGCTCGGACGACAGTCGAGGGGAAACGAGATGCGGATTCGTGCTATAGAGTTACACTCGACAGACATCGGGAACTGCTAGAGGAGGGATGCAATGGCCCACCAAAACCCTGGCCAGAGCTGCATAGATGACGGCAGGGATATCAACCGCAGTTGACAAGCCACTGCCTCGCAAGGCCGGCGAAATTCAAGCAGAGGTCGGGAGGTAGCGACGACTATAGGATTCAGGAGCGGACCTAAGACGGCAAGTGCCAAGAGCGAGGGAGAGAGCTGCGAAGACGGACAAACTTGGTCACCTCGTCCGGTTTGGTACGCGTCCTGGGAGTGATTGTACACATAGCACGGCAAAATATGCCCGCGTTCATGGCCACCGGATGGCATGTGCAAGCTACTGGGGCGCAGATAAGGTAGTATCGAGCCTGGTGGAAATACTGACCTAGATGTCAGATCCCAGAGGCAAACTGGCATATGGACTCGAGCCAGGCTTTGGCCATGGCCACCCCCGTCCGGATTGATGTACAACAGTGGGTCAGGCAAGAGAGGAAGGCAGGGGTGACGAAGAAACTCCTTGTCAATGAGTACGTAGGTAGGCAAAGAAAAAAAAGCCCAAGGCTGTACTTGATGTACGTTGCTGTGCGTATGCTCGTCCCAGTCACGTTAGGCGTATGGGATGGGATCGGGCGTCGGCCAATGTCGACATGGTCCACGACCAGAGAGACTCATGCACGTGCAGGGGGCTTTTGCCGCGACAGAGGACGCGAGTGGTCGGCCCCTGCTCCTTCTTAGGTGAGAAGTGACTATCGCACTGCATGCCGGGTCGAAGCCTTGGTGCATAATTGCCTCGCTGGATCAGCACAGGTCTCGAGAAGGAAGTGGAAAAGATGGAGACGGCAGTTGATGTACCTTAACAGCAGTCTTGTCCGTAAACGAGATGCTGGGGGGTGGTAGAGATGTGGGAAGCGAAGCGCGTGCAACGGTTGTGGGCCGGCGCGGGGAAAGAATGATTGAAGATCATCGGCCCAAGACGCATGCGACACAGCTTCCATTTTGACAGACAGGTACGTACGTATGGCAGGAGCCCCAATTTTGGCAGGTTCGGTGTGTGATAAGTAGTATAAACAAGAGCCAAGAGCCATAACCCTGTTAAGTTGAGCCAACTCGGTAAGCTGGCTGGAGCGAAAGGTCCGAGTGTTCAGAGAACAATGGAGGATGGGATTCTGGGTCTGACAAGACTTCACGCAAGGGCCGTACTGTTGCGTTGGTGTCGTCGGCATTTGCAGCGTCAAGAACAAACGGAAAGTGAATGCGGGCCAGCTCATAGAACGCCTGGTGGTGGGTTGGCCTTGCGAGACGGGTCCGGTTATCTGTTGATCAGTTCATCTTCCAACCATATGCACACGAGAGGATGGAGGTCGCGGCTGAGGACCTGTCAGCACCAATGTTGGGCATGAGATATTTGAAGTTTTATTTTAGGATCGTTGGGGCTTGGGTCTGATCTATGACATGATGCTTGTCCGTCCATTGATGGCTGGCTTCCTTCCCTGCCTGCCACGCCTTCGAGCCCCACGCGAACCCTGGTTCGACGAGACATGTATCGGTCGTGCTATCCTTGTGCAACGGCATTGGACTGTGGTGGGGAAGGCAGGCAGGCAGACAGGCAAGCATAGACGGACCGGTATCCGTGTACTGAAGGCAATCGCGATCAGGCTAGAAAGGCTGTCAACGAAGATGAAGTCTGCGAGGGTGTAAGCGGCAGAGGAAGGAAGGTACGTAGTAGAGTTGATCAGGAACAGGGGGTAGGGATGGGGGGGAAAGTGAAAATAGAGATCGACTAGGACAGAAGGAGCTTAGCACGAACACATGGGATCCTGGGAAACGTGCCTTCGCACTATGGGAGGAACTGCTCACGTCTTAACCTGGCAGCCTGGATGTGGAAAGAGGGGTGAATGGGCAATTGTAGGCTCTTTCCGCCAGCTCCAGCCACCAGCTCTTACTAGGTAATACCTGCTGCGTGCCCACCTCGTTTAAGGTAGCTTCGCAATCTTCCCATTCGTTGGAAGCCACGATTGCTCCATCAGAACCACCTACATAAGGTTTGGCGCTTAATCTGTTGTCGCTCGACGCAGCTTGTTGGCCTTTGTTGTTTCCTTCGTGTTTTCCACGGATACATTGTTCCTTTTCCCCGTTCCTCCAGCAAACGGTTCGACCCTTCAACACCAAACGGCTTTCTTTGTGTTGTAGGTAGCTTTCTCTGCCGGTCAATCTCGCTTCTCCGTTCTGAATGCTAACGAGAAATGATAGTTGCAGCCAATCTCACCCACCGATACTTACTCCTTCACCGACTGTCATTCATTGTTGCCAAGGATTCGTCTTACTCGGTTCCATATCCCACGGATGACAGCTCCATTCTCCTCCTCGACTGTAACAATAAGATCACGCACAATGAGCAATAAAATTAAAAAAAAAAAAAACCCCGTGTTCCCGATCCTAGCCCGAGCTTGCAGCTCCAACTACACTGGTCCTATCCATACCTCGCTGTGTCAACTTGGCAGCCCATCTATTGACTGACTTGCAAATGCTCACGCGTGATCCCCTGTGACAGCCACTGCCACTACACCATTATCCGTGCATCCTGATGCCCGGCCTGCATCCGACATGGGAAAGAGGGGTGTGCGTCCAAATGGCATTTGGAACCTCATCCCGCTTGCTTGCGCCGCCAAATCCTTGTCCTGACTCTTTCGATTAGTTAGGTATACTACGTAGGGATGCGACTCCAGGTTTGTCCGGCTTGTCCGAGTCATCTTGTTGCTTCGACTGACCTGCCTTACATAGTAACAAGTAGATGGATACATGGTTTCTGCTTATTGTATCCTTCCAAAGAATTCATGGCAACTGCTATCATGCTATGGCAACTCTTGCAAGGTTTCATCCGCTCTTGCTGTGGGATTTTCTTGCCCGAGGCCGGCGTCCATTGCTGCAGGCTGTCTGGTCACGGTCTTTTTCTTTGAATCCAACAACAACACATGTGTAACACCATCGGCCAACGCCAACAGCCCTTGCTTTGTAGGCAGGCCAAGGCTGCCGCCCCCCCTGAGCTTGATTGCGTCCTCAGATTGAAGTTTACAGGGGGGTCAGCCTTACACAACTTGGCGGGTCTCCCGGTGGCAACAATCTGACCACTTTCTCCTCAACCTTGTAAGGTGCCTCATTCGCGTTCATACCATCATCTCTACCTTCGTCTGTTGCTTCTGCCTCAAACAATCAAGAACAATTCTGGGCGTGCTATTGGTGTTTCCCTTCGGTCATGAACACAATCTAACTATCAGCCACAAGACCTTTCGAGCAGAGCCGCTCATCACCTCGCAGGCGGTTCATTCACCATTCACACGCTGCCTCCCCTAGGTAATCATACCGGCCAGCCGCGATGCGCTGAGGCAACAACTGGCGACGTGCTTTCTCCCCTATCGCTTCATCTTTATAGTGACTTGACTATAGTATCAAGCCATGGTGAACCGGCTTTTTCGTGGACTTGCAGCCCTTGTTGGCTTCGTGGCCGGGCAATATGATGGATGAGACCTTGAAAAAGGCCAAGTAAGCGCCGAGATGTGCTTTTGGTATTCACCGAGAGGTCCGTTACACTATGCCACCGCCAACACTGCGAGACTGACCGACACAATGCTGCTGTTATTCGCGACACACTCTGGCTTGATGGCGGAAGACTTTATTGGACTCCTACCTACCGGGATGGGACCGAGGGAGCCCCCGAAACGTTGGGTCAGTTCGATCGCGCACCAGTCGTGATCGGTTTCTAATAATTCTAGACAACCCCTTGGGTCTCATGTACTCTCTGAACTTCAGCAAGCCCTTTGATAAAACGACAAATATTACCAACCTGATCGTTACCAAGTCGAAAGCTGCAGGGGGGTCCGGGAACGTCAACAGCTTTGCGCCCAACACCATCGACGGCGCGCTCCTTCACAACGACGCAGAATTCTTTCTGTATGGGGGCGTCCTCTCCAAGCGTACAGATGCCTACGGCCCTCCACCCGCCGACAAGGTAATGGCATGGCGTATGCATGCCTACGGCCCAGAAAAACCCTCTTTTCAGAATGGCAGCAGCGACATGGTCACTCTAGAAAACGAGGTGACGCGGTATATCGCCCACGGAGGAGCTGCCAGCGCCCCCTCGGAGAACAAGGCTTGGTACGCAGGTGGCATGCGCTCGCCTCTCTGGGGTGAAATGTACATGAGCAACACGAACCGCTCGTTGAACGCCGTCAATACTTCGAATACCCTCATCACTCTCGACATGTTGGAACAATTGTTCGAAAAATTCTCGAACCAGTCGTTGCCGACCCAAATCAAGGCCAGGGCAAACCTCGAGGTCGTTTGGGTTCCTGTTGGAGCTGAAGGCATTCTCGTCGTTCTGGGGGGCGTCACGTACCCCGAGTATGTCAACTCCAGCCACAAGTCCGATGATGCTTTCAAGAGTGTAAGCTCTCTATCCAGCGCTTGCTCTCATCCTACCTAACATTGCGCATAGCAACAAGAGAGCCCTTCGTTCATGGAGACCATTGATATCTACGACGTCGCCGGTGACAAGTGGTATCAGCAGAAGACCGAGGGGACAAAACCTCCAGCCCTTGCCCGAGGCTGTGCCGTTCTCGCTCCGGCGCAAGATTACTCGAGCTTCAACATATACTACTATGGAGGATATGATGGCATCCACGCCCAGGAAGACTTCAGCGACGATATCTGGGTCCTTTCTATACCTTCCTTCCAGTGGATCAAGCTGTACGAGGGGAAAGCCCTTCATGCGCGCGCTGGCCATCAATGTGTGATGCCCTACCCCGACCAGATGATGGTCGTTGGCGGTTACACGGCGATGCCTGGGAAAGGATCGCCTCCATGCCTCGAGGGAGGGATCATCCAATTGTTCAACCTCTCAAGCGCAGAGTGGCTTGACGGGTACAGCCCAAGTAAATGGTCAAACTACACCATCCCCGCCGCTGTCGTCAGCAAGATCGGAGGCGACGAAAAAGGGACAGCGACTAGGACAAAACCCGAGGGGCCCGGATGGGCAGACCCAAACCTGGAGTCCATCTTCGCGAAGCCGTATGAGACTTCGAAGATCAAGACGTGGTATCCATATACCGAGTCGAAGGAAATTGCCCGCCCCAATGTCCCAACTGGTGGAGACGATGGAGGCGGCGGCGGCGGAACCCCCGAGTGGCTCGCCCCCGTTCTCAGCGTCGTCCTCGGTCTCGTCTTCATCACCGCCATGCTCGTTGGCTGGTGCCTCTGGCGCCGCCGGAGGGTCCTCAGACGCGGCAACGGGGCCGCGACCCAGACGGACGACAACGGCTCTCGCATTATCTCCTGGATGAGGGGTCAACCAAGTGGACCGGCTAAGGCGCCCACCGTCACGACCGAAGAGGCGCCTTCTACTCGAGATATGTCTGAAGTCCGCACACCACTTCAGTTGCGGGCTGCATCACCCGTGCCATATTACTTTGCACATGAGGTGGCCGATAATCAAATTGTCGAGCTTCCAGGTGAGCTCAGTAAATAATTTCTTGGAGTGAAAGTTGCTAACCACACACAAGATACTTCGCCACGTCCCGAGCTTCACGGGATCGGTCTGACTCCCGTCGAAATCATCAACAAACACACCCATTTCGGCACCGGTGCCGGCTCCAGCTCCAACCCCGCCACCACCCACCAGTCATCCTACTACGCCTCCGTCTCCAGCAACGAGAACGCCTCATCCCTCTCCCGTTCTTCCGGAGTCCTCGGTGACCATACCCGCGCTCAGTCTCCCGACCCGGGCCCGCCATCACCGCCGCCGCCCACCCGCCTGCGGACCGCATTGGGTCCAACGTCTGGGGCCCCAGCGACCACGACGTGCGGCATCTGAGGCACCTCAGCGAGGCGACGGTAAGCTCGGCGTCATCAGGCGGCGAGCAAGGCGGGCCGGCGGTGTGGGACCAGCAGCGCGGGATGCCGGGCACGGTGCCTGAGACGCCGACGCCCGGACACCCGAGCCCGCTAGTCCGCCGACGAGGGCGTCGAATGGGGACGATTATATAAGTGCGCGAGTGTTGCCTGTCAGCCCGGCTGGGACGGGGACGTTGAGGAGGAGCGTGTTCCACGAGAGCGAGGACGATATCGGACCGGAAAAGTAGACTATACTACAAGACGAAGTGGGCAGGGCGGCGCTAATAAAACACATCGTCATAAACGTTTCCAATATCTAAACGATATGTCATCATCCCGATATCCAACAGTCCATTTGTCCACATATCGTCGGTTGATCTCCTTCATCGCATCCGCCCGAGACCCCCAAATCTAGTTGGAAGAAAATAGCCGGTGGTGACTGGCGGACTGGTTGATGGGTCAAACGGGACACAAGACCCACCAAGGCAGGAGATATTCACTTCTCTGGCGAGGACCTCGTCGCGACCAGGAGCGAGCAGTGTATACAGTAATCATTCTCCCCAAAAGCGTGCCCTTTTAGTCTCCGAATCAAGGTCTGGCGCGCGCGCGCGCGCCCAACGAGCAACAACCCCGGCTCAGTTCTTCTTCCTCAGAGCCCCACCGTCGACGACGAGGTCCTGCCCCGTCACGAAGCCGGCGTCCATCAGGTACAGCGCCGCGTCGGCGATGTCCTTCGGCCTCCCGGCCCGGTTCGTCGGGTGGTCGTCGACGTCCTTTTCCAGCATCTGCTCCCGCCAGCCCCGCCCCGCCTCGTTGCCCTCCCTGCTCTCGTGCCCAACCTTGATCCGCCCCGGTGCGATCAGGTTCACGCGGATGCCGAGCGCGCCAAGCGAGATGGCCATGCTGTGCATGAGGCCCAGCTGCCCCGCCTTGCTGGCCGCGTAACCCTCCTGGTTTGGGTCCGACTGGTGCGCGCGGAAGGACCCGATGAGCAGGATGCACGGCCCGGCGACGCCCGACCCCTCTTCGGCATTATGCGCGCCGTCCGCCGCGTCCGCCCGCCGCGCCTTCATGTACGGAACGCAGGCCTGGCTCATGGCGAAGGGGCCGGTGAGGTTGGTGTCGACGTACGCCCGCCACTCCCCAAGGGTGTCCGGGTCCTGCATCGTCTTTCCGTCCCGCCAGTACGGGCTCGCGATGCCGCCGTTGTTGATGAGGACGTCGATCGTGCCGCCGAGCAGGTCTCCCGCCGCCGCCGCCTTGACCTTGGCGCGGACGTCGTCCACGTCCCGGAGATTGCAGGTCGCATACGCGAGCTTGCCCGCGTCGTGGTGCGTCTTGAGGTGGACTTTGACCGTGTACTCGAGCTCGTCCTCGTCAATGTCGAAGACGTAGACCTTGTGTCCGGCTTTGAGAAAGTAGCGCGTCAGCGCGCGGCCGATGCCCCGCGCGCCGCCCGAGATGACGACGTTCCTGGACGTCCTTGTCTGATTGTTCAGCATGGCTGTTTGTTCGATGATCCAACGCTGTGAAAAGTGTTGGGGGCAAGTTGTCGGGTCTTCCTCGCGACGAGTGAATCTATGATAATATATAAGAAGCCCGGACGTGACGCTGACGTCACAGTCTCGGCGCAGTATTTGAAGAGCGATAAGGATAGGGGCGAAAGAGAACCGTCATCGTACATGTTCTCGAGCTCATAGAGGCCTTGTGGAGCAGCATCAGATGAAAGGCCAAGTGGAAATGTACTTACTGCCTTCTGCCTTCGTATAGTCAAGCTGTAGACTAGATGTCAGCAGTACCGGTCAGTGGCCAATGGACCATTATTCTTATGAAATGCCACCGCCGTGGCTCGGCAACTAGCAAGGTCAATGTCGACTTGGATACTGGGCTTGTCTTTGCTCTCACCAGCACCACTTCAGCAGGGCAAGATCAACGGTGTTGAGCGATACAAATATGATTATCGTTTCTCGTCTCTTCGCTTATTCGCTACTTCGCGTCGCATAAATACATTATAAACCCACGTAGTCATGCTATGCTTCGCCGAGTCTACGCTGTTTCTCCCTTACGGAGTTGGTGGAGGAGCTGATGCTGGCCTTAGACGACGAGTGCCTCAGCGACCTCTCCGCCAATAATTCGGCGCCGGAGCCGCTTTCCCTGCGGCTGACGCTGCTCTCCCTGGACAGCGGCGAGGGTATCTCGGGAGTGACGGACCTCGACTCGACATGAGGCCGCTTCGGTTTGGACATAGACGCCACCTTCTTCTTTCTCTTGTCCGACGCGTTGGACCCGGTGCTGGCTTTCCTGCTGACGGTGCCGTCGCCGTCGTCGCTAGTGGCCGCGACGGACGGCGCCAAGCTGCGGTTCGAGCTCGTCGAGCTGCGGCGGCGGGTGCGGGAAGTGCTACTACGGCGTCGGTGCTCGCGCTCGATGGCGGCGGCGCGGGGGTGGATCGTTGCCTTCTCCGGCGTCTGTTGGCGGACGGGCGCAGGGCCGGAGCGGTCGATGCGATGCCAGGGAAGCCACCAAAAGATGCCCCAGCGCTGCTTGGCGACTTGGCGATCGCGGGCGGCGAGCTTTTTCTGGATGAGGGCGCGGCGCTCGTTTTCCTTTTCCCAGTATTCGGTGCGGTAGATTTCCCAGTTCTCTCGGAAGGTCGGCGTGAAGGGCTTGGCCAGAAGGAGCAGCTTGACGTAGTCTCCGCCTGGCGCCAGGTCCTCCTCGTGGCCGCCCTTTTCTTCGTCCTCGACCAGGATGGGCATTGTCGGGTGGTTCTCGGCGGTGAGGCTCAGTTCCTTCTCGACCTCACGCAGGACGGAGGGCTCGACGTAGCGGTAGGAGGAGCTCGCAGTGTGGGAGAAAAGTCCGTAGGTTAGGAAGAAGCCGAGAGTGGAAAGGAACTCGGCCCACCAAGAGCGGCGGATGATGACTAGCTTGGAATTGAAGCCGCGCAGACCTCTATTGGAGATGGCAAACCAACGCCGCGGCCAGCGTATGCCTCGCTCCCATATTCCTGTAGCCCAAACCAGTATGGCGGTCATGACACCTCCCATAAAGCAGATCTTTTCAAATGTCTCGACTCCCCAGTAGACGGAGCCGCCAACGCCGCGGCCATCTTCGCGCGGGGCGAAGAAGAGGGCGTACCCGAAGCCGCTTATCCAAGCTGTCAGCAGAGTGAAGAAGAAGGTATGATGGCGGCGGCGGGCGCGGAGCTCGAGGTACTGGGCGCGCAAGGAGGCTTCGAGGATGAGAAGATTCAGGTAGATCATGGACGGAGAGCTCGGGGTGTGGCTCAAGGGGTCGCCTTGCTTTCCAGAGTCGGGAACGACGCCAGTGGTGCCGACGGCGGCCTTAAGCTCCTTGCCCGGGGGCGGTGCGCCCTTGACGAGCGTGTCGAGCTCGTCGGCCATGGTTGCGGGAATAGGAGGAGGGAAAGGGAGGAGAACGAGCTCGGGCGTCCCGAGGGAGGAAAGGGTTTTACGGTGATGCGGCGGTCAGGCCGCTCCGAGACGGGATTTGAGGAGCCTTGACGGCAGCCGGGGTCAGCACTGGTGTGCAGACATGCGCGGTGGTCGGGGACGGGGAGAATTGCTGCACTGCCGTGTTGCGTATGTGTATGCGTATGTGTATGTGTGTGTTTGTGTGTGTATGTGCTTGTATGTAGCCTGCGGAGCTCAGTCGACGTCTGCCGGCGTGCGCGAGAGAAAGAGACAAGGGCGGAATTGGGGAATTTTGGTCGGTGGTCAGATGCCAATTAGGCCGGCCGCCAACACGCTTCAACTAATAACTGCAGGCGGCTTTTGGAGGCGGAAATTCCGCTCCGCCTGGTGGCAGGTGTGGCCCGTGGGCAGTGAGTGGAGCGTCATAGAGAGGTGGGGTGGCCCGAGCGTAAACGATAAGGATAGCGATAAGGCTTGTTGGAGAAACGGCGGAGAGAGGGAGGGTCCTTCTTTTGACATGTGCAATTTGTGGTTGAAGACATACTAGTAACAGTGGAAGGTACACATACTTTCCTGTCTTGGTCTGTAGGCGTCGCTTACATAACATGGAACCAGATCATCTGCCCTTACTTAGTAGGTAGATATTTACTACCAGTAAAGCCAAGATAGATAGATCTACTTGATTATACCAAGCCTCATTCCCTCGCCTGAGATTCGACACTGCATCGAAGACATCCGCCGAGACAATCGCGAGTGGAGTGAGTGGTAACGAAGCTTCTTCCCATGTCGTATAAATCAAAAAGTCAATGGATGTACAAGGTAGTTCTTCATGCAGGGCATCCAAGGCTGGTGAGTTATGCATCATGAACACATCTTGAAGCCAACTCAATTCATTGTTCGTGGACGGGTAGCCCGTCAGGGGGAATCAGATTGTTGCCTGCATTAGGCAAGTGCTCCTGGATTCCGGACTGCGGACTGCTTACTGCATTAGGTTTCTAGACCACACCCAAAATAAATCAGCCTCAGTCAACGCCATCAAAAGACTAGGAAGCCACCATGCTAATCGTGCAGAAGAGTCGGCGATCGGGATTTACGTGGCCGCTTACCGCCGACACGGCACAATGCAACAAGCCGCCCCACTTCCTCCAACCCGCCAAACTCCGAGTGCTAAGTCCATGAACCGATGGCATGGAGACAGGCTCGCAACCCCTGCAACCCTGCCGCTCAACTGCTCAACAAGCCAGTTGTTTCTTTTTTTCCCCCCCTGGCCTACGATGCTTAGTATCTCTACCTTGCGGATAATGGGCATTACTACGTAGTAGTAGGTAGCGTAGCTTGTCTTTGGCCGGGGTATTGTGTTTCCTCTCACTCTTACGCCCCCCACCCCTCACGACTCGCACTCGCACCCGTCTTGCTCTTACTCTTTCTCTGCCACGTTTGCGCGCGTCACCACTGCCCCTACCTACATACCTACACCTACGCACCACCTACCCTCCTTAACGCCGCCGGCGCGCATACCCAACCGCGCCGCCCCTTCTTGGTAGAACGAACAAGCGAACTCGATCCGATTCCATCCACCATCAGCTCGCTGCTGACGGATGAATCGTCCAAAGTTTCGGAAATTCCGCTCCCCGCCGGGCACGTCCATCCGCCTCTCCCCACGGCCATACTGAACGCTACTTCGTTTTGTGACGCCCATATATAGACGGTCCTTCCCCGTCGCCACCGCCCCGTCAACCGGCATGATACACCAACAAACCGCTTCTACCTTAGTCAACGGGTCGCGACTTAAACTTGCTTCCTCATTAATTACTTCCTCCACCACCGTCAAGTCTTCCACCCCCAGCATCCGCCCCTCCTCTGAAGACTCCGTTCCTCGCCGATCTCACCAGACCATGGCCGCCGCCGCCGCCCCTCCCTCCGCGCCCACCGCGACGACACGTCCCCCGGGTACCTATTTCCCTCTCGGCTACAAGGATGCCGTCTACCAATGGGTGAGATAACCAGCAGCATCTTTTACTTAGTGTCGTTCCCGTTCATTCCGCTGACGAGAGCGTCTGCAGTGGACAAGTGTAACTCCCCAAGTCGCCGAGCGGAACGTCCTCAGCCACATCCCCTACCTCAAAGAAGCCCGCGAGAACGCCTCCCTAGATTCCGACAAGGCGTCGGACCCTTTTGGCCCGCGAGTATGGAAGTCGCAGATGGTCGAGCTCTCCGGGAAGAACCGCGCCCTAAACGAGTACTCCGTCGAGCGTGTCGGCGAGGACGTCGACAACAACCTCGTCATCCTCCACGGCTACGGTGCCGGGCTCGGTTTCTTCTACAAGAACTTCGAGCCCCTCTCCCGCCCAAAGGGCTGGAAGCTCTACGCCCTCGACATGCTGGGCATGGGCAACTCCGCAAGGCCGCCTTTCAAGGTCTCTGCCAAGGACCAGGAGGGCAAGACGGCCGAGGCCGAGGCCTGGTTCATTGATGCCCTTGAAGAGTGGCGGAAGAAGCGCAACATTGACAAGTTCACACTCATCGGCCACTCCCTTGGCGGCTACCTCTCCATCGCCTATGCGCTAAAGTACCCCGGCCACCTCAAGAAGCTCATCCTTGCTTCCCCTGTCGGAATCCCTGAGGACCCGTACGCCGTCAACTCAGCCATGCCCGAGCCCGAGGAATCGACATTCCAAAACGAGTTCACACAGGACCAGAACACTGTCACAAGCGACAACCAAAACTCCATCACGTCCCGCGCCAGTAAGAGCCATGAAAAGAACTCCAACAATGCGCCGAAGCGTCCTCTGCCGGGCTGGCTCGTCTGGCTATGGGACGCCAACGTCTCCCCCTTCAGCATCGTCCGCTTCACCGGTCCCCTGGGCCCGCGGTTCGTCTCTGGCTGGACCTCGCGTCGCTTCAACCATCTCCCCGAGGCTGAGTCGCAAACCCTGCACGACTACGCCTTCTCCATCTTCCGCCAGAGGGGCAGCGGCGAGTACGCGCTGCCCTACATCCTCGCCCCGGGCGCATACGCCCGCAGCCCCATGGTCAACCGGATAGACGGTGTTGGCCGGCAGATCATTGAGAAGAATGGCGAGAAGATCAAGGAGACGGGTGTCCCTGTCGTCCTGATGTATGGCGAAAACGACTGGATGGACGTTGCTGGCGGGTACGCCGCAGAAGAGAAGCTTAAGCAGGCGAAATTGCAGGCCCTTCTTAAAGGGACTGACGAAGAGAAGAGGAGGGAGAGGGGGTCCGCCAAGGTTCTAATTGTCCAGAAGGCGGGACACCACCTGTACCTCGACAACGCTGACCAGTTCAACGACTTTATATTGAAGGAGCTGGAAGAGACGCAAAAAAGCGAGGTGTAGATGTATTTGTTCTTGGCATGGTTCGATGGACAGACTGGCGAGCTACCCAGTGACGTCTGTCAAATGGGGTTTCTGATTTTGAAAGGCGTTTTTCTTGGGAGGACGGTATAGCATTGCATGATCGAATACAGCTCGGGCCTGAAACGGCCGATGGGAAGATATCCAGTGGGGAGCGTTTGGCTTGGCCATTAGAGCCTGTTTGGCGAGCTTATATAGATGGAGATCAAGATTTTGAACGTTTTCTATTTTGCCTGCACAGGTTTCGTGTGGATATGTGAGGTGCCCTTTGTCTATTCTTGCCAGTCGCTCGCCATGGAGCTCAGGGGTCTCGGTCAGCACCGGACCACGCCGGCCCCGCAGGCGACTTCATCCTCGTTCCGCCCCGGTTTCTTGGGCGCAACCTGGCCCGGCTTAGTAACACGAGGTGTCCAGCGATATATATAAAAGGTCAAAGTACCGCCAAGGAATCATGTGAGTGTGCTCCCATCATCCTAGGTTGAAACACGGCCGCCTAAAACGCCATTGTCTTTCTGAGGATGTGTGATTTTGGGGGACTTCTACAACCAAATATGCCCTTCTAAGCACTGCAGAATGGTGGCAGCACCTGGCGGAAGAGGTATCCATCTACCTCGTCTATCTATTAGCAGAACACAGCGCAGTTACAAGCCTACGGTCGCTAGGCTCCTCATATACATGGTGCCAAAAGGCTCATACGCCTCATAGGTCGCAGATCCTTTAAAAGTGGCGATACTTCGACTTCCTATGCTCTCAGTTTACTTCGTTGATCCAAGCTTGTATATATATTCACAAGGAATCTGCCGAAAAACTCTCCACATTCTCTTCAAGAAATTCTTGCTGTTGTTTGCTTGCTTCTCTTTCGCTTCCATGTTTTCAACTTGGCATACAAATAAAATCATCAGCAACTTTGCGTCCCCCCCCCCTTCCCTATCTTCCACCAACACATAAGTAAAGGAGCAGCTCATTGATGGACAGAATACTCTTCATCTGTTATCTTCAAGTCAACATTAGTCCCGCCATCTTAACTTCTCCCTTCACGTAGCCGGTTGGTTCAATGAGGCCCGCAGATCCTCTCACGCTACCCCTACTAAGGGTATCGTAACCCTTCGTCTCAGCTTCAAAGATCGCTTGGGACAGCCATGATGCCTCCCACTGATCCACAAAGCTGGTTAAGCGAGGTCAGCGGCTTTCCATGTTGCCCCCATGACCCCCATTGAAGGCATCGTGATCTTCCGTCTCAACCTTGGGATCGCTTGGGTCAATCAAGATGTCCATTGCTAATTCACATGACTGGTTACGCGGGACCTGTAGGTCTCTCGCTACCTGCAATGAGGGGATCGTGACCTTTCATCTCAACCTTGAGGCTCGCTTAATACAGTCACGATATCTCTCTATGAATCACGGCCCACCCTGAATCAACTTCTGCGTTCTATATAGAAGCACCATTTCCACCCCCTTCCACACTTCTTCAACCCAGTCACTGAAGGCATCTTACCCAATCCACAAGGCATAGCAATAGAACAATACCTTTCATAAAGCCACTCATTATTGCGACACATTAACGTCTGCCATTAACATTCACTATTACGGCTGCCTCTCTCTTTATGCGTCACCAGTCCGGCTTACAGGGCCTACCTACGACGCGTAATCATTTATCACCAGCTTCACTTTGCTATTCACCATCGCCGCCAGGGTCTTCTCTCTACAAAATCAAGGGTCATAGTGGGAATTATCAGCAATTGTCGCCCATCATCGACTTCATCACCACCTCACTCCGGTTGAAAGCCACCAAGCATTCCAAAACCCTCCATGAGGCAGCACTCAGCAATAATATATATAGCCAGACACTAGTAAGATGTCCGGTCCCTATTCCACCGACTTCTCTTTTCTCGACGGCCACCGGGCCCCGTATATCTTTGAGGACAATTTCAACCAAAGCGTATTCCCCTCCTTCTACCAGTACGAACAGACACCAAGCGCATCCCAACCCCTATACCAGCCCCAGAATCACGAAGCTCACCCCCAGGCCCAGCCGCCTCTGGCCCACGACGGTCTCCCTCCCACCAAGCGTCTCCGATCCAGCACCTGCAGGCAACGCCACACCGCCTCCTGGACCCGATTCCCGACGGCTTCCCGCTCGACGACCCCAGACTGTGAGCCGCCCTACCACGCGCGCATCTTCAGTCCCGAATCCCTCCCGGGCGGCTTCTCCGACGTCCTCTCCTTGTCCCTCTCGATCCCTGACCCCGTCGGCCCCGAGGAGCGCCTCCGTCGCCAGCACGAGATCAGGCACATCTTCGCGGAGACTAAGTCGACGACACTCCCGCCCCCCTCGCCGTTCGCCAAGCGTCCGAGCCCGTCCGCCGCGCCCGACTCCCCCACGGACGTCTACCGCATCCGGGCCCCGCCGGCACGCATCAGCATCCTCCCGATGCAGCCCAAGCGGTCCCTGGGCGTCTTCGTCCCCGTCGCCGACGCGACCGCGGGCGCCGAGCGCGAGGCGGCGGTCTCGCACAACAACAACCTCGCGGCCGCGCGCCTCGCCGACCTGAAGCGGCGCAACAACGCCGCGGCGCTGCGAGCCGCAGCCGCAAGGAGCGCGGCCGTCGCGTGTTAAGCTTCTACACTGGGATTTGTTGGTGTACGCCAGAATTAAACTGTGGGCGACCTTACGCTCGACACCTACTAGTTCCCTGTATCTTCACGTGAAAACCTCTTGCGCTTGGCGGCTCAAGCTCATCAAGCTAAGGGATCTCTCTGGGTGTCTGTTCATCTCCTCTCTAAATCAACGGTCAGTAAGTGGTTCAAACACCACCTTCAATGTCTGATGGGAACAGCAGTAAAACCAATAAGGATCGTAACTCGACAGCGCGGCGAGGACGCACCTGTTTTAGAGGCGATCCCTGTTCGAGACGCGGACCTACCCATGGACTCGTAGGCAGTATGGCAGGCCTGGAGCGCCAATGTTAGAAATCACTCCCAGGTCATTCCATCCGAACAGCCTAGTGCATGAGATTAGGCATACAGCATGTATGCCCTGCGAGAACTAAGCACGCCATCACAAAGCCTATCTTTTTATTACAAGGGTTCATGCTGTCTTCGAACTAATTTAATAGGGCCTCACGTTGAGCGACGCGCTGCGGGAAGCCGCAGCCCGCAAGGAAGCGCGCCCTCGCGTGCCGCACCGAAGGAGCTCTCGCGCGCGACGGCCCAGATGAACTGGTGGAAGGCGCGGGCAGTGTCGCTCGGGGGCGCACGCGGGCGAGTGGGACGCCCTGCCGGCGCGGGCGGTGCGCGAGGCCCTCGTGGCGGACTACCGGGTCGACGTCACGGACTTCAGCCGCGACGGGCCCGACGAGCTGGGCATCGCCAAGACGGCGGCGGCCAAGAGGAAGAAGAGAAAGGCGGCGGTGACGGCGTGACAGCGTGTCGAAAGGGCGCTTGGCGGGCTTGCTGGGCGGAGTTGAAGAAGGGGGGGGGGGTTGAGAGAGCTGAGGTCGGTCTCCTTTCTGTTCTTATATGTTTCGGCCTGCTTTTTGGTTTGCCTTGAGGGGGGAGATGCATGCGAGCTAATGATGGGAAGTTTCTACAAATATCCGTAAGGGAGCAAGTTGGAAAATTGGCGTTAGTTCATGAAGAAACTAGTTTCGAAGCAGACTGCATGCGTCATGATTGCTCACATTGACTATGGCGGACAAACCCGAGTGCGTTTATACTAAAGCGCCCTTCTTTATCCATGTCTTGAACCGCAGCATAGACGACTCTGCTTAGAGTTGATTGAAGTGACCATATGGTCATGCTTACCCGCCAGGCAACGATTGTTGGCAACGCCTTGTTCAAATATAGTATCCACACCGTTTTCGAATGTTTTCGGATTTGTGGAATATCACATCCGCAGTCAATATTGTAAAAACAGCTGAGTCCCTGTATAAACCCTCAACAGAGAGACCCTTTTGCGAAACATTAAAAGACCCTGAAGATCATCAAGCCCAGCTACCAAAAGAAACCCGTGGTATCTCTCGTCAAAATGCACCAAACGAAGCCCGGCCCCATTGTCTCTCTTCCTTCTGACGAGAGACGAGCAACTACACAGTCAGAAGACAGCGTCTGCGTATCTCATCCATCGTCCTTTCACAAACCCAAACGCCGGCCATTATCCAGTCCAGCCTGGTTCCCAAGCCCCCGGTTCCCTTTCCATGTCTCAGATGGCCATTTCCATTACTTTTCCCTTGTTGGCACGGTTCCTTCTCATGTGTTGCGGGCCCGACGGTTGGCTTTCACCGCCACCCCCGGCCCGGCCCACTGCCCGTTGATAGATTGGCTATGAGCGCGACTTGCGCTCGGCCTTGATGCTGCCCATCTCGGACTCGTGGCCCGTCGCGACGCCGTAGCAGTCGGGGTCCGCGACGCACCCCTTGATGAAGTAAAACACCACAATGCCCATCAAAAGCCTAATAATCTTCACGTTAGCCAACTCTCGTTCCAGTCTCGACCACGGCTTATTATACGCTCCAAGACGCGGCAAGTCCCACGAGGGTTCAACGACGTACCAGTTGATGGCACCGACGGCCGCGGCGCCAGCCATGCTCCCGCCGTACCGCATCTCCTCGGTGGTGGGCCCGAAGCAGGTCCTCCCGATGCACGTGTCGCCGAGAAACAGCTTCGCGATGCTCGCGGACCATGCCCAGCCAGCCAGCCAGAAGAGGCAGGTGAGGCCGTAGCCGACGAGCATCACGATGCGGAAGTAAAGGTGCGCCGCGAAGCGCTCTATGGCGATGGCGCCGCCCAGGACGACGATGGTGAAGAGGGCCTAACGAAAGTAAGTGTCAATAAATGTCCTTTTTGTGTGTCTTTTCTTCTTCCAAGTCCGCACCCCCAGCGCCAAGCAATCATTTGCATCGAAAGTTGGTATAGTCTCTGGCGTCCCAACAGGATACGCTCTCCTCCGGACACGAGCGGACATAACAACAGGGAGAGAGAGAAAGAGAAAAAAAAAAGACATACGACGAAGAGCATGAAGCCCGGCGGCCCGGTGAAGCTGCCTGAGTAGATGCCCAGCAGGGACAGGCAGAAGGCGCTGGCGGCGAGGACAGCGAGCGAGAGCACCAGGGTGGCGACGCGGGCGATGGCGAATAAGGACGGCGTCGGCGGCACGCCCTTACCCGTGAGGCCTCTGATGTTGTCTGCGCCTGTCGTCATCTTGGTTCCTTCAGTCGGCTGTCGTGTCGTGTCGTGTCTTGTCTCCCTCTCTCTCTTCTCTTGGAAATCGACTAGGCGCGATGATGCGTATGTAAGGAGCGGAACCGGGGGTTATCGAACCGAGTTAAATCGTTTCCACTTGGGACTTGCGTTTCTTGACTGGTAATTGGAATAACGGAAGATGGGAATGTGAACTCTTGCCGTTCTCGGTGGAAGTATACAGGCTCGTCCGGGGAAAGAATAAAGAATAAAATAAACAAAGGTAGAAGATGGACAAATGGTAGCAACGTGAAACAGAAACCCTCCAGCCAGATGAATCCGATCGCGCGCTGGAAACCTCGGTTTCCTTATACCTCTCAGGCTTTACACACTCCCTACCGTTCACCCCTTCAAACATTGCTCAGCCCGTGGTCTTGCATGACAACGGCCCCGGTCCCCTAGAGATCTGGCGAAAAAGGAATAAAAATCGACATCTGAACTCCTGGCTTGCGCCACAATACGACGTGCGTACCTTCCTTGTAGCCCGGCCGTGCAAGACCAACACGTCAGTGCCCCCCTCTTCCCCCCCTGGTGTGGCAGCTCCTTAAAATCCCTCCCAGGCCTACCATGCAGTCCCAAAGGGCTGAACACACATACCGCACGTTGGGGGCGTCAGAGCTGGGATAGGTACTACAGGTACCTACCTATGTAGGCACAAACGCAAGCCTCTCGGTTCATGGATCGACCGGGCTCCCATCTCTCTCCCCTTTCGGATTCAGGAACGCGCTGGGGGAAAAGAAAGGGGACGCATCGATGCATAAAGTAGTAGTCTAATTGTTCCCATCCTCTATCATTTGATTGGTCGAGTCAACAGGACATGTCCTAGGCATCGCATCGTACACCCCGTACCCAGTCATCACGGCAGTGCAGTGCAGCCCCCCCTGGCATTTCAAGACGTCCATCACTGAACGAGGTTTAGTGGCTGGCCATGTGCCGTGCCGGCCGGCCATGCGCGACCACCCTTCTCCGACTGCTCGTGTTGGCTCTCGTTGGGCCTGGTTTGGTTGGCAACAGCTTTAACCAAGTTTCAGAAGTCATCGAGCGGGTGGGCCCCCTCGTCCCTGGTTTCAATGCAAGACAGCTTCAGTATTGACCGTACCTTATGTGATTCCCCTCCCCCCACCCTTGGCCTTTGAACTAGTTTGGAAAACGAAACCGGAAGATCTGTCTCTGGACCACCCCGTCGAGAAAGACGCCAAGAGGGCTGAACCAATACCGCCATCAGACGAACCGATGGCCACGAGGTCGGCTGGCTTACAGCACAGACATGAGCAGGGGAAAAGAAAAAAAAAAGAGAAAAAAAAAAGAGAAAACCAGGAACAAGAGACATGCCGAAAACGCACGAAAACAGAAAAGAAAGAACTAACAATGGGAAGGGGTGAAAAACAACAACAAATGGCAGAAACATAAATGGACACGGCCTTTTTTCCTTCGTGAATAAGGACCGAGCGCGTACAATCCAACCCTTGCGCAGGGTTGCTGCGATACGATCTCGTGATGCTGTGCTGTACTGTGTGCTGTGCTGTGCTATCTACAAAGCTTGAAACGCCATCCGTCCTTTCCTCTACTTCCCATAAACCAGGAAGCGCAATCAATCACCCTCTCCCCTCATCTTCTTGCATTGCCTGCCCGAATGCCCCAACATGTCCGCGTGTCCTCTAGCATCCCATCTCATCCATCAGATGGGCTTAACAGATCCGATTCGTGCAGCAAAAACCTGGCATTGCAATGTGTCCAGACTGTCGCCCACCGTCTGAATGGGTAACCAGCGACCCGAGCAACTTTTGGCTCAAACCAATGGACATCTCAAATCACGTCCAGCATGGGGGCTACATGCTCCATGCAGCGAGCATGACAACGCGACAATTTCATCTAGTAGTGGGATATGTCTTCAATGTTCAAGAGTCATTGGGCAGTACGGCAGTGGTTGATACAGATTCTATTGTGGCATTGATGAACCAACTTCCATCGTTGTTGCGCCGTTTCCCTACTCGTGCATTACTCGTCAATTCGTCCGACGACGACCATCGCAAAAGGACACTCCTCCCAAAGTGTCCTCGCAATCTTTACTCCCAGGTTTCTATTTAAAACACGACCAAAGTGAACAAAAGCAACACCCCCATGCCTGCCTATATCCCATGAACTAGAAATGCATTGTACATACAGTCTACCCGATTTTTAAAAGTTCGCAACAGCGACCGCGATCGCCTGCGACTCCGAGTGAGAGATGGACACGCTAATGTCCTTGAGGCCAACTTTCTGGGCAGCAGCGGCGGCCTCACCGTGAAGCTGGGCAACTGTTAGCAATCGGGCCTCGACGATACGAATCGGGACATGTGGCTTACCTTGACCAACGGGGCACCAGACTCGTCCCTGCCAATCTCGATATCTTTCAGTGGCGCACCCGCACCCTTGCTTGACACGCCAAGCGACTTGAAAACGGCCTCCTTCGCGCTCCACCGGCCAGCGAACGAGCTCTGAGGGCTGGGAGCCGACTGGCAGTACTTGATCTCACCAGCGGTGAAATTGCGCTCGATGAACGTCTCGTTCTCAATGTTGATGGCAGAGATGTCCTCGACGTCAACACCAACGTTACTATTTTTGTTGACAACCTTCTTGGCCAGAGCCTCCATCATGTCCTGGGTGGCCTTGGCCGCCGTGGACGACACCGTCTTCTCAGACGCCTTCATAAAGTTGGAAGGGTAAGTCATGGTGGAGGTCTTCTTGTCCTCGGTCACGCGGGCGTCGGGGTTCAGGAGGACCTGGCTGAGCTGCTCGTCGGTGTAAGGAGCGTTCGACTTGGCAACGAAGAGCGTGTTGTTGACCAGGCCGTTGTGGAAGAAGCGGTACGCCTTCTTCTGGCGGGCCTGAACCTTGGCAGAGTACTCCTCGTACGTCTTCTCATCCAGTGTGGCAAAGAGGTACTTGGGGTGGACACCAATGGCCTGGGCGCCCTTCTGACCGAAACCGAACGAAGTGACGGAGAAGGCCTTGATGCCATCGGTCTGGATGCTGCGGCTGGGGTACACAATCATGTCGAACTGCTCCATGATAGGATCGACGTTGTCGGCGTTGCGGTTGCCAGGCACCAAGCCCGTGTTGAGGACCTGCAGGCAGCCGTTCATCATCCAGGCACCGGCAGCACCCTTGGGGTGACCTGTAAGGTACTTCTGGAAAATGCCCATGACAGCATTGCCCTTCTTGCGGCCAAGGTGACGGAGCTGTTGGCAGATGACAGAAGACTCATTCTTGTCGTTGGCCTTGGTTGAGGTTCCGTGGAAGGAAGCAACGGCGAGGTCGTCAATGGTGAGACCCCAGGTGGCGAGGGCACCACGGAGAGGAGCGATCTCCGGGTTGTTCTTCCAGAAGTTATTGCCGAGGCTACGGAGAACGTCCTTCTCCTGGCGCTCAGCCTCCTTCCTGATATGCTCGGCACGGTTGTGAGCGTACTCCTTCTCGTTGACTTCCTGGCCCTGGGCCTTGATAGCCTCAACCTCCTCGTAGAGGTACTCGAGCTCGGACTCCTGCCACTGCTTGATCTGCTTCTTGCGAAGCTCAATCTGGCGGCGGCGGTAGTTGATGTCAAGCAGCGGCGAGGGGAACTTGCCGGCGTGCTCACGGGCGGTGGTAAGGACACCTTGGCCGGGAGCGGGAACGGAGCGGCCAATCTTGTCCGTGGCGGTGGTGGTCAGAGCCAGGATACCGTGAATGGGCATACCCATGTCGAGGGCAAGCTTGGCTGTCATGAGAAGCTGGACACCGCAACCCTGGGACTCCATGAAGCCGTTACGGGTGGTGGTAGTGGGTCTAGACATCTCGCCAGGGGTGCGGCCGTGAGCCATCTCGTCGACAGCGTTGCTGGTGGCCTTCATGTTGGCGAACTCGTAGGAGCCCTCCTCGCCGAAGTCGTCGAAACCACCGACAAAGACGACACGAGCCTTGCCTTCCATGATGGTCTCGTAACCGATGTCGACTGACTCGACAGCAGTGGCGCAAGCACCAACAGGAGTCTTGATGGGACCAGAAGAAGAGATCAACAACATGTTAACCCAGGCGGCCATAGTGTTGATGAATGACTCCTGGAGAATGTCGTTCTGGACAGGCTTGTCCAGGTAGCGATCTCTGTGCATGCCACGGAGGGCGCCGGCACCACCCATACCGGATCCGATGCAGTTACCGACCTCGGAAACGTGGACGTACTTGTAGAACTCGTAGGGGTCGGTGATACCGGCCGACAGCAGAGTCTCGGCGACGGAGACAAGGACAAAGAGGGTGACGGGGTCGACTTGGGACACAATGTCCTCGGGAACACCGTATCTCTTGGCGTCCCAGCCAGTAGGGATCTGACCAGCAACAAGTCTGTCGAAACGGAGGGCCTTGGGGATCAGGAGGGCGGCTCCCTTCTTCATGCGGACAATGTACTCGCCAGACTCGGGAATCTCGAAGATGTCGACCTTGTCGCCGTGCTCACGCTTGAACTCTTCGGCAGTCTCCTTCGATGCCTCGAAAGGCTCGAGGTCCTCCTCAATAACAACCTCGTGGAGAAGTTGCTTCTGCTCGGGGTCGTAGCCGCCGAAGAGCTCAGGCTCAATCAGACGGATACCGGAGTGCTCAAGAATGAACTTCTCGTACTTCTGCTTGATGTCCTTGTCGTCAACGGGCTCACCAGTCTTGGCGTCGACCCAGCCAGAGTAGGGGGCGGGCTTGCCCTTGATGGGACCATTGTGGTTCTTGATGAGACCCATGATCCAGGCCATCTCAACGCAGCCCTCCAGAGAGAATTCGCCGTAGGCCTCCATCTCCCAGCGGGTGCGGGAGTTACCCCAAGGGCCGACTTCAGCAAACCCGGTAACAACGACGACCTTCTCCAGGTCGACCATGCCCTTGAGGCGGTCGTTGAGGGGAGCAATCTCCTCTTCCCAGTCGGGGAGGTTGGGGAAGTCGAACTTGAGGTTGGCACG